CTCAACATGTCTGTTATGCCAAGGCAATCATCATGAGAGTGAATGCCTGACCAACCATAAGTCCATCAACTTTGTAGGTAATTTCAATCGAGGCAATAATAATCCTTATTCTAACACTTATAATGAAGGATGGTGTCAGCATCCCAATTTCTCATGGGGAAATCAAGGAGCCCATAATGCTAGTCAATCCACTGGTAGCAGAATCACACTGAATCTCAAGGCTACCAAAATGCTATGCCATGGCATAATACCAACAAAAGAGCTTCATATTCAGTGAGCATTAGTTCATTGGAAGCTACAATTCAAGATTTCACATCTACCACGAAGACAATGCTTCAAGATCATTCTACTTCAATTAAGAATCTATGAGATTTACTTCATAGCTAATGTGCCTTACTTCAAAGCCATAGTTCATCTTTGAGAGCTTTAGAAGGTCAACTTGGTTAAATTGATACGATATTGCAAGAGCATCAGTAAGGACATTTGCCAAGTGACACCGAAGTCACTAAAACACATGGAAAAGAGCATTGTAGCGTGTTAACTCTTCGGAGTGGAATGCAAAGTAACCAACAAGTCAAGGTTGGTGAGACACAACTTGATGATTCTACCCCCACTACTAAAGAGGTTGAAGCTGAATTACATAATGATATCATTTCTGAGAAGGACAAGGAGGAGGGTTTTACTAGTGAGCCTGCCAAGGCACAAAATTCTGATGCCAAGGAGAAAGCAATTCCTACTCTTGTAGTTAAGGAAGCTAGACCCCCACCACCCTTTCCGCAAATATTGAAAAAGCGTAATGATGAAGTTCAGTTCAAGAAGTTTGTGGACATTCTTGATCAACTTCATATTAACTTACCTATCTTGGAAGCTATTGAACAGATGCCTACGTATGCCAATTTTCTTAAGGAAATTTGCACCAAGAAGAGGAAAGTAGAGAAGTATGAGACAGTTACCATGACAACAAAATTTTGTTCTTCATTGAGTAAGTTACCACCAAAGCAAAATTATTCGGGCAGCTTCATTATTCCCTATTCTATATGAGCTAGTTTCATTGGAAAGGCACTATGTGATCTTGGTTCAAGTGTGAACTTAATGCCAAAATCTATATTCTTGAAGCTTGGCATAGGAGATGCGAGACCCACCTCGGTTATTTTACAACTTGCCAACCGATCCCATGTTAAACCTGAAGGAGAGTCGATGATGTCATAGTAAGGATGGATAAATTTTGTTTCTGGTCGACTTCATAATTCTGGATTGTGAAGTTGATGCCAAGGCACCCATCATTTTAGGTAGACCTTTCCTAGCCACTGGTCATATTTTGATAGATTGTGAAAAATGTGAACTCACCATGAAAGTGGCTTATCAGTGTGTGACTGTCAATGTGTTTCGTACTCTCAATTATGTTAATGACACTGAAAAATGCCAAGGAATTTCTGAACTGAGATCATTGATTGAAGAAGAAACTGAATACTTTGTTAGAACATTTTATTCAACTAGCAGACAATGAATATTTGATGGATGATGAAAGCTTAGAGGAACATGACAACTTCCCAATTTTGGAGGAGCAATCTAGCTTACTACTAGCTAGATCATGTATAAATTTTGAACCTTTGAATTTTGATGAATTTATTCCTCCTAAGCCATCGTTATTGCATGCACTTACCCTAGAGCTTAAACTCTTTCCAGGGCATTTTAAATTTGGTCAAATATAACATAGTCAAATAGAACAACATATTATGTTGGCATATCTTAAAATTATATCCATAGAATTTTACAAGTTTCTCATTATGGCTCATGAGAACCGACAATCATGATTTCGTTTAACACAAGAAATTAGAATTAATAATATTTCAATAATAAATCGAAAATAAATTCTAGTTTATTTTACCAACAAAATTTAGTTAGAAACTAAATCGGTAACAAATTGTAACTTCCAAACGATTTCTATTATAAATAGTAATCAAATAATTCTGTTAGATAACAGAATTAAGTCACAATGATTTCAAATACGAAATCAAAAATTCCAATAAACAGAAAATTAATTATTATTTATTTTCAATTTTGTTATTAGACATAGTCAATGTTTTGAAATAAAATCAGTATCCAAAGTTATTTTCACGATAATTTATGCTAAACATATTTGTCTACTTTGAGATTTTAGCAACGTCGTTAAGACATATGATAAATCTTGAAACAAATTTATTCGCTATCTCATTTTTTCCATGATATCTAAACTGTTTCAGATTAAAGAAAGGTAGAAGAAAAAGATATGATTCATTTCATATTAAAGGAAAATATTCAAATTTCACCTATTTGATTGACTTCATCGTTGTCAACCAAAACTTGAATTCTTGATCATCATTATTAACTTCACTGTGCAACCACAAATATCTTGCAAAGATTTTAGAATCCAATTATTTGAATCTCGTTGGCATAAATTCCTATTGATTTTCGCCCAATATTTATTTTGCCAAATTTTGGCAATTCCTCTTGTACACAACAAGGATTAAACTCAAACGAATTCTATATCATCTCAGAAAATGAGAATAAATATATCTTAAAAATATTAGAAAAATTTGTGTTAATCCAAGAATAATATAGAAAAATAGTAATGATGATAATCTCATTATAAAAGTAAGAGAAAGAACGACTTTACTTTGTCTTGAGATTGTTACACAAAATAAAAATCTGAGACATAATCGAACTTGAGAAAATAAAATAGAAGAAACTAAAACTTCTTAAAAAAATAAATGGAAATAAAAAATACTCCTTTTTATTGATCTATCGATTGGAAATAGTTGAGGCATGTTGTTACACAATTTCCTTAGATTTCGACCCTCTTTTGGCGCTTGAGTACGTTGGTCGGCTGTTTCCCAAGATACAACAACTAGATGATCAGCTATAGTAGCACAACTGCAGAGGTCATGAACTATCCTCTTGTGCACAACAAGGATTAAACTCAAATTAATTCTATATCATCTCAGAAAACGAGAATAAATGTTTTAAGAATGTTATAAAAAATTATGTTAATCCGAGAATAATGTAGAAAATAGTAATGATAATAATCTCGTTATAAAATTAAGAGAAATAACGAGTTTACTTAGTCTTGAGATTGTTATGCAAAATAAAAATCTGAGACGAAATTGAACCTGAGAAAATAAATAGAAAAAACCAAAACTTATTAAAAACAAATTAAAAATAAATGGAAATAAAATTAAAAGATATAGACACCTTTTACTATTTAAAATTAAATAGATATTATTTTAATTTAAAACTTCCAAAAATATATAATTATCTTTAATATTCAAAGTTAAATAGATAATTAATATCTTTTAATTTGACATATTCAAAGTGTGATTACCCTACTAATATTGAATTTAAAATATTTTTTAAAATATAATAATAAAAAATATTAATTTAATATAAATATTAAATCTATCAATTAAATCATCTTTCCGACAAATATAATTGATTTGAATCAAACCAACAACCCTTACAAAAGAGATCAAAGGTTTAATCATTAAACAATATATAATATTATATTTCTAATCAATTAATATTTACCTTAAACTATAATAAAAATTTAAACCAAATTAAAATTATTTTTCCGTTTCATGTAAGATTGAAATAAATGAATTAAATAATTAATTTTATAAAATTAATATTAAATCATTTGAAAAAATAGAGTAATTTACGCATTTAGTACCTAAATTATAAGTTTTGTTTAGTTTCAGTATCTAAACTTTCAATTTTTTTTCAAAATCATACCTAAAGTTTAGTTTTTTGTTTCATTTTAATACTTTGTTCAAAATTTAACGTTAAGTTTTAAAGGAAAAAATGAAAGTTAAAGGTGCTAAAACGTACAAAAACTGATAGTTTAGGTACTAAACAAAATAGGTTTTCAATGACAAGATACTAAAATGAAACAAAAACTAAACGTTAAATATGACAGTAAAAATATTATAAGTTTAAGTACTAAAACGAACTAAAATTGATACTTTCGATACTGAATGCATAATTTACCCAAACAAATATATTGGACTCCATGTTTTAAATGTGAATAACCCAAAAGGAAGTATGTAGTCTAGGATGTGTATAAGTGCTAGGTACAAGGGTACTAATAACTAGAAAGAAAGACTCTATGCTACAAGTTTAAGTTTTTGTAATACGCACGAACTAAATAATCTCGATAGTAAAAGAATTGTTGTTATTTATTAAGATCTCGGATTTAAATGTCATCAATGATAGAAGTATGAACATTTAATATCAAATGATTAAGAGTTTTCTTTTGATAAATATTATATTGTACTCACTCCAAATTAATAAAAAAAATATTGTGTAATACACCCTCGTTCCTGCATATCATCGATGTAGATCACCTTTTTCCTTTCCATTTTATAAACTCGGGGAAACTTTTATTATAATCATAATGGAAGTCCAAATAAATTTGATCCATTCACATTTGATAATATATATATATATATATTAATAATTAGTTTCTAATGGAATGAGATATTAAGTTTTTTTTAAATAAGTTAAGTGATTTGAATATTGATATTGTAAACGAAACTAAATGAGTTAAAAAGGTATTTCACAATAAATTTTTGTAATATTTGATCTGAATTAGGTAATCAACATGTACCTATAGTTAAAAAAGAACATACACATTAACTCGAGGTTTTTTCTTCCTCAAGTGGTCAAGCCAATTCACTCTCTTTTGCTCCATTCCATGTTTTTCACACTTCATGCACTAGAAGACAATAATAACTGGTCCTCTTTTGGATCAAGTGAGAGCAAAGTTCAGGCTGGTTGGAAGGGCTCGACTGAATGAGCAATTGTTAATGCTGTTGTTCTGTTCTGCCTGTCCTTTCATTTTACCCCATTAATGGTGGTTCAAAACGTTGTTTTAGTTTAAAACATTGGTTCCGGCATGTGTGGGGTTTGAAATGTGTACTACTCTGTAATTGCTGCAAACACATTTTATTTTATTCATCTTTTCCACTATCAGCATTTTTGCTAATTGCTTTTGATTTTATACAATAGATTTACTTAAACCTTGAACAAACCAAGGATAAAAACCCTACCTCAAGAAAGCTTTTGAGCAATTACAAAGATTCCCAGGGACAAATTCGACAACCCCCCAAAAAATACAAATAAAAAGCTCAATGGGGTTAACTTGATTTTTAGCCCCACTCAAGAAAGTTTCAGCCTTCATTGAGTCCAAAATCCAGAAATGGTGTATTGTTCTTCACGGTGCCTATATTTTCCTAGGGGTGACCTTTATTGGTAAGCCCCTTTTGGGCACTGGAAAAGGACCATATTGGATCCCATCTTCATCTCCCACCACTTCCCACCTGCGTCCAAAACATTGGAAGATTTTTCAATTGGAAAAACAAAATTTTCAATGAAAAAGCCCCTGGTTTTCATTTGTTCATTTTGATCCACTGAGTTTGGATCCTCTGTTGTAGACTGCAAATTATAATCAAACCCCAAGCTGAAACTTTTGAGGGAAAGAGGGGGCTAAAGCTATAATTTGGCAGTGTTGGGGGACTAATTAGGACCATTTCCACGGCCTAAAGAGGACCACTTTTTTCATCGACAAAGCAACTTTAAAACAAAATCTTTCTTTTTACATCAATCAACGTGGCTTTATGTTCATCTTACGTTTAAAAAAAACAATGATTATATTATGATATGTGTAATTACCTGTATCTGGTTGTGAGATGGTGAAGGAACACAAGCATCTCAAGCTTAGCCAGTTCACTGCCTGGACAAGAGTGAACCCCATTGCCAAACGGCATAAACGTGTTGGGTCTCGGTGGTACCTACACAACATTAACATATTGGTACAAAATCATGTCACGTGGTTTGATACTTTGAAAGATTTGATTAAAAAGATGGTTCGATTACAGGGGAGATTTCTCAGTGATGAAACAAATGAAAAAGACTGCAGCATATCAGCTGAACCATTGATAACCTTATATTTACTCTGAATCTGGATAGTCCCCTGACCCACATTCTCAGGGACACACATATCATATGATTCCCGAGACTAAAAGAAGTATGCTTAGACTCGAAATGATCGGAATCTAAAATTATCTTATAGAGCCTAACCTCAAATCTAGAAGGGTCAAATTTTTCAGGTTGAGGGAAGAAATCTGCACAATGATGAATGGTTCTAAAGAGAGGAAGAACCTTCCATCCTTTGGGGATGTAATACCCTTCAAACTCAACATCCTCCACTGCTTCTCTGAACGTGAATGAGAGTATACTTGCTGTTCTTAATGTCTCTTGAATCACCTGCAGATTAAATCACATACTTTACTTAAGATATTTGTGTATGTGTATATATATGAACAATAAAAGAGAATTAATGTACCCTTGTAGTCAAGGGCATGTGCCTTGTATCATCCCACGTAAGCCGGCGATTTGCTTCGGTTATCCTGCGTTGAATACCTTCTTGTTCTCTCTGCAACATGTATGATTTATATTGAGAAATCGAAAATATTTGATTGCTTTCGTTTATGATGATCAAGGTGAGGGAAAACAGTTTTACTTACTGTCACAGCTTCGTGTAACTCTCCATTGTCATGCAAGTATTTCAAGAGCCATGTTAGGACACTTGCGGTGGTGTCATGAGCAGCAAAGATTACACCGATTACATTATCTGCAATCTGAGAATCACTGAGTCGACTGAGTTGATCCGCCTTCTGGTGGTTCTTCTCCCCCAACAAAACTCCAAGCAGTCCCCCTCCTCCACCACTTTGTTTCTCGGTTTCCCTTCTTTCTTTTATCAATCTTCTCAGGGTCTCATTCAACAGCTTCCGAGCTTTCATTGCTTTATTGAAAGGAGTTCCCGGAAGATCTATAGGCATGGAATTGTAACCCTTTTCCAGGAAGTGATAGAGTTTCTTGATTCCATTTGTTTCCGAGTCTTGTTCATGGCCGAAGGCAGAAATCATCGCCACATCAAAAGCATACTACAAAAACAAAACACACTTTGTTTAAGATTCTTGATGGAAGCTAAAAATGGTTTAAAACTTGTTAGAAAAGAAACATACTCTCTTCATTTCTTGCAAAGTGTTAATGGTGGTATGTTCCCAAACAGGTAGATATTTGAGAACAATCTGCTCGATCTCCGAAACTGAGCCTCGAATTACAGCAGGTAAAAAGGAAGACTGGACCAATTTTCTCAGCCTGGAATGATAAGCACCTTGGTGGAAGAATATAGCCTCGGGGCCAATCATCTTCTCTTTGCTGGGCGGATAAGTTGGCTTAAAAAGATGAGACTTTGTCACCAACACGATCTTGGCTGCATCAGGGCTTGAAATCATCACACAGGGACATCCCAATATGTGACTTTTGAATACATCTCCATACCTAATGAAACCAAAAACACAATTGGAATCAGTTTTTTACAATTTCTATACAACATTTATAATCTCTTTATTCGTTTGAAAACCTTTTCTGTCGGTTGGCAAAGAACAAATTGGGATTCTCGGTGTAAAGCTTGAGAGTTTCACCGATATAAGGCCAACCCAATGAACCAGGTGGCAAACGCTTGTCCTTGTGATGCCGCCGTTGATGAGTAGACAGCACCACCACCGTCACCACCAAAGCCACCAGAAACGGAAGCTGACAGCCATAGAAAGCCGTGAAAATTGCCGGAAAAGTGTGGGGTGGCGACAATGAGAAGAAGAGAAGTTGTTGCATGGTGGCAATAAGTGTTGGAAGATATTGAAAGAGATAGAGGTGAGTTACTTGAAGAAGAGATCAATGGAGGTAGTGGGATTTATATAACGTTGAAGGGGAAGGGGTGGGGGGACTTGTTTGATGACAGACGTCACCACATTTCTGGGAAAACCTTGCTTTAAGCTCTTTGCATTTTTTCTTTTTGTTTGTTTTTCCTAACCAGATCTGTCCTACCTTATACTGTATTTTTCTGGTCACTCAACCTCTGTGTTTTTAATTTTTATTATTTGCTTTAATTTTTAATGTCATTAAATTAGATTAATTTGTTTCATTTATATATTTATTATAATATTTTAAAATGATGTATATGATTACTTATTTTTATATTAGTTAAAATTAATTTATATATTATTAAAAAGTATAATTTAATTTAAATATTATATTTGTTAAGTTATGAACAAAAATAAAAATAAAATTAAATATATTAGATAATAATCAATCTAAAACTAAATCAAATATTAAAATTAGAACAACTTAGATTTAATCACCAATAGTTACACCAAAGCAATATTGTTTCATTCACATCATCATGTCATTTTAATTTTAACGGCCTAGGGATATAATTGAGTGTAATAGGAGTATTCAAATAGTTAATTCGATCATCGATTGAACTGAATTAATCAAAACTAAATTAAGTGATTTTTTATTTAATTGTTAATCGAATTGAATTTTTTTAAAGAAATTATTAATTGAACCTAACAAAGTTTGATTAATCGCTCGATGATCATATTAATCAAAAGTTTTGAATTTTTTATTTATATTAATTTGAGTTTCATAGATGTATTTTTTAGTTTAGGTTAAAATTGGATTAAGTCTTGAAAGTTTAATGAGTCTAGTGTGGTTAAAAAATAGTCGGGTCTTAATTTTTAATGAATTTAAGGTTAAAATAATTAATATTTTTTATTAATTAATATGTTTCAAACCAAATCAATTGATTTTGAATGGAACTAATTGTTAACTGAAATATAAAAGATTTTTTCTTCTACCGAACTAATTTCGATGGCATAGCGTTTAACCGAAATATTTTATTTTGGTCGGTTAATTCAGTTAAAATCGATACTTCGATCGATTAATTCAATTAAAACTAAAAAGTGAACACCCATAGAGACCAAAACCATAGTTTAATGTTATAACCGGAGCAATTGAAATTTTAATGATATAAATAATACATCAACTCATGTTCAATGATGTATGGTATAGTAAAACTTTCTTTAATTGGTATAATCCTAAAAAAAGAACTATAATATTTTACTAAATAATTATTTTAGTCTTTATTTTTTTTTGGTTCTATGACCTCAAAGTTTTGTTTTGGAACAAATAGATCTTTCTACGAATGAAAAATATTAATCGACAAATGATCAATACTATTAAATAAGATTTTTTTATACTAAAATGAAATTTTAAAGGCCAAAATGTTTTAAAAACAATAAGGAATAAAATAATTATTTTAATAAATATCGATGGTTAATTTTAATAGTATATCTTATATGATAAGTTTTTGATAAATTATAGTCGTAAAACTAATTTTAATTAAACATTTTATAATAGTAAAAAATAAACACATTCGTGAATATGTGAAACCCCAATTTTACTCCGTAAATCCGTCAAAGAGTATAGCCCAAAGCCAAGGCGAAGGGTTGGGTAGCAGCTGACGTGGTGAAAACCGACGGGACTTGAACCTCGCACGTGTCTTCATCCCGGCTCGGGTTCTTGTAATCTTACTCGAGGGGTCCCATCTCTCCAAGTCTCGTATATTGTCAGGCTAAGTAAAGAAAGTTTGTGGGCCCCACACTCTTGGAATTTGCTATTTTAGGCAACGGAAAAACAGACGCAAACATCTCAAACAAAACGCAAAGCCCCCATCTTTTTTTAAATACCGACTTGCGGTAGTTTTAATATACCGATAAAAAATATTATTAATTTAATTATTATTTAAATAATAAAATCGGTAAAAAGTAATTGAAAATATTATTATTTTACTGATTTTTTATTATTAGATTTTTTATCGGATTTGGTAAAATATTATTGGTTTTATTATTTTTATACTGATTTTATTATTATTAGATATTTTTATCAGAAATATTAAAAAAATTAATGTTTTAGATAAAAATAATAATATTTTAGATAATTTTTTTACTAATTTTATTATTTGAATAATAATAAAATCGACAACATTTTATTTTAACGCGTAGAACTTCCTCGCTTTTTACCCAACTTTGCCAACCAAAACTTTGAGGGCAATATAAACATCTTTAAAGATTGGCGGTGTTCGGAAAAAAATGGTATTTTTTAGTGTCCAAGTGTCAACAAATGGGTGGCTACCTCGGCTTGCTGCTTTCGAAATACGATATTAATTAAATAATAATAATAAAATATTAATTTAATCACTGAAAACTTTATCTTAAAAAAAAAAGTCGTTTTAAATGGCATCACCATCTTCATGTCCACTACACTTAACCCTGACATAAGGTCATTGTTTGAGCACGGATGATGTCAATTTCCAACATCCACGTGGACAGTTGTTCAATTATGGGCTCTACAAACTTACTGTAGCTTTCGTATTTTATGAAATAATAGCATGCAATTAAGGGTTATTTTTCGTTTGCCTGCCAAAACGGTTTTGGACACCTAAATTTTTAGAGGTAAATTACGCGTTTAGTATGGGTGTGTAAATTTAAATATTGGATTCGATTTGATCTAAAAATTTGAAAAGTTAAAAATTTTGAATATTTAAAATAGTGATTTATATCTGATTTTTTGAGTTGAATACTCAGATATCCGAATTCGAATATAAAATTTAATTTGATAAAAAATAATTTTAAATTTTATTATTTAACGTAATTTATTCAATACCTATACTATATATATATATATATAAATACTACAAAACAATAAATAATTAAATATTAATGGATTATTGGGCTACTCATATATTGGTCTAAAGGTATTTAAAAATCTAAAAACACATTTTTTCTTCCGTATTTTTGGATAATCCAAAAATGGAATTTATCTAATCTGTATCCAATCTGATTATCCGAAATTTTTTTGATATCAGATTCAAATTATCGTAAAATAAAAAATATATCGGATATCCGAATTTTTGGATTAAATCTTTTTGCACACCCTAGCATTTAATACCTAAACTATCAGGTTTGGTCTATTTTAGTACATAAACTTTTAATTTTTCAAAATCATACCTAGAATTTATTATTTTCATTTTAGTACCTTTGTTCAAAACTTTACGTTAAGTTTTGAAAAGTTTGAAAGTTTAGCTGATGAAACGGACCAAAATTGATAGTTTACATACTAAACGCATTAAGTTTTTAATGGCGGAAATTAAAATAAAAACTAAACTTTAAGTACGATTTAAAAAAATTCAATATTTAAATATTAAAACAAATTAAAACAAATAATTTAGATACTAAATGTATTGTTGAGTTAATCGATCGACAGAATCGGCCAAGAGGGGGGTGAATTGGCAATTAAAAATTTCGTGGAAGCTTTTGCAGAAAAATTGAAAGTAATTGCACAGCGATTTACAGTGGTTCGACTTTCTCAAACAAAGTCTACGTCCACTACCTTAGCTATCCACACTAAGGATTTTCCAACAAATTCACTAATTTGTTCTTTCTTTTGAGGCCAAAGAGATAACCTTACAAAATCCCTCAAGAGTATACCCCAACTCTTGAGAACACTCTTTTTCCCAAAGAGAAGATTACAAATTTGCAAACTTACAAGAAAACCTCACAAGTAAGATGTTTGCACAATTCTAGAAGAAGAAAAGAACACTCAAAGATAATTAGGTGTTCTTGAAAGCAAAATGAATATTGAAAGGAAAATTGGCTTGATTTGCACAAACTTGGTGTTTGATGCTTTCTCTCTTGTTTCTCTATGATTTCTTATTGATCAAGGGCTTCAGAACTTGTTTAAATACACCTTGAATCTCTTCTGAACGTTGGGGATGATTAGTGAAGATCATATAGCGTTTTAGTGTGAAAACAATTAATAACAGTTTGGAGCATGGGGGGAATCGGTACCCCCTAAGGGGAATCGGTTCCCTAAGTGTAAAATTCAAATATTTCGACCGTTTGAACAAGGGGGAATCGGTACCCCCTATGGGGGAATCGGTTCCCTCCGAGCATTCTGGAAATCTCGGAGCCAAGCCATTCAGGGGGGAATCGGTACCCCCTTAGGGGGGAATCGGTTCCCTCTGAGCAATCTGGAATTTTTGGCTTTGAAATGGTTCGAAATACTTTGAAAGATATTTTGAAATTGTTTTAAGATTAAAACTTAATTTTACACTTAAGTAAGGATTACAAATGATTTTTGAAATATTTTGAGTAATGTTTTGATATTCGAATAATTATATCGAATATACTTAGAAAATCATTTTGGAAAATCTTAAAATTCATTAACTTAATTTGTTATATCGAAATATCAAAATGTTTTCAACAATCTCCCCCTTTTGATATAACAAAACATTTTAGTAATTTTAATTTTGAAATCAAGTTTTGAAATTACTCCCCCTTACTTAACACTTCTCTCATTTATCATTTTAAAAACACACTTAAAACACCTTCTCCCCTTTTTGTTAAATCAAAAAGATTCAAATAAATGTGAAAATATTAAGCCAATTAAGCTGCTAAGATCACAATCAAGAGAACCGTTAGCCATTAGTTCCGTAATCAATATTCATAAATAATGTGATATGGCAAAATTGATCATATTGCTAATAATGATGTAAATGATGCAATAATAAATCACACCAAACATAAAGTTTAAACCATCCAAACAAATCCAACAAATTCACAATACTCAAATTCAAACATCCCAAAATATTCAAAATGTTAAAACAATAAGTTTGGAAAACAAATTAAAACATAGAATCAAACATCCGTAGGAGGATCGGGAGGAGGAAAATGAGCTCGCATAGCGGCCATTTCGTTAGTGAGGTCATTAATACGTGCGTTGGTTGCTTCATTATTTGCACGCATTTCCCGAAGAATTTCTAATTGTTGAGCTCCCATTGTGGATAAATGGGACTCTATAGAAATAAAGTGCGAATCCATGGTCGCATATCGGTAATCAAAT